CTTCTGCTATGACTTTGATCATTGCAGAATCAGAATAGAGACCTTTAGATCTATCATTTTCATCATGGGAGTTAATTGCTCCCTCTGGACTAGAAGTGCCATAAATACCATCATTGACAAAATGAACGTGAGAAGTGCTGATCAAATACACATGTCTGTATATTCCCCCTCCTTCATACCACCAGCCTGACCCATCAATTGAAGAGCTCAAGACAGCCAGTACATTGTCATTCTCTTCTCCATTGCCATAATAAATACTTGAGGCATTATCAAGACGAACACCAAAGCTTGTGTACCCAGAATCATGATACAGTAACTTTTCTCCATTAAAATAAACAGTAGTAGCTCTAAAAACACCTTCAAAGTAGACCCATATAGACATGCCCTTCCAGTCAGTAGGAATTGAAAAGTGCTTACGATAGTTTGTCTTGTTTTTGAGTAAAAAAGCTTGTTTTTGAGGTCCATCCTCAGAGTACTCTCCTGTAATGAGTGCATCATGAGGTAAATCAACTATTGTCCAGTCAGTGTCATTGTAATCACGTTCTGTGTACTTGGGAGGTGGCAGTGGCTTTGCAGGAACTTCTCTACCACCACCAACCCAGCCATTACTCTTTTGCTTGCAGTCATCACTCTGGCCTATCCAGCAACCAGCAGTTCTAGAATACTGCCATATGGCACACATGACATCAGCACAGCACATGCCACGACAGTCATCAGCATCACTAGCTCCTTTGCCTTTTGATAGCTGATGGCACTGCACTCCACTTAAATTATGAGGAAAATTTTCTTCAGGACATTGTGGAATAACCCCTTCACCTAGTTTAAACCTCCAGGCAAAATCAAAATTGACAGTCTCCCTTTCTGAGCAATATCCTGTTGCAACAATAACAAAAAGAAGCAACAGTGAAAAGGTCATTTTAAAAATTGCTGACACAAAATAAGAAATTCATTACTTTTATATGAAATTCATATTTTATGACATTATTATGACATTGTCGAAACATATGTACAGTAAGGAATGTAATTGGTACACTAGGTGCAATGTCAATCCTTTTTTAAAATGAAATTTAACAGGAAACAGAGCTTATCTATAGGATAATAGCTCTATTAGCCTGTAGCATTGTTTCAGTATTAAGTTATCAAGGAGTTTTTTGCTACAGTTAGTACATTATAAATATCAGCATCAGTAGTAACAGGAATAGTAACTGTAGAGCTACCTAAACCTCTACTACTATACCATCTAAATTAGGACCCTCTGTATTGGAATCAAATATGCGTGTATGCTTTCCTCCATCTGTATCCATGATAACTCTGGTTAATGCATGATAAGCATTCCTCCAGTGAGCTTGGTTGTGCTCATGACACTATAGATCACTGTTGCCTATTCACTGGACCACTAACAATACTGAAGGACAAATTCACTGATGAACTGTGACCCACTCTACCTTTAGAGTCTGTTGCTACATGTTTATTATGCTAACATGTACTTCTGTGCTTTATGTGATATGCGAAGTAAATTAAAGCATTGCAAATTATTTCATTACCCTGTAACATGTACATGTATGTTTTACTTTCTGTCTGATAAATTGTTTCATGTTGATAAATCAGTGATGTTGATGTAATGTATGAGTGATCAACCCTGATTTGGAATCACCAATGCTACATTAATAATCCCTTCAACATCAGGAACAGACTTTGTTTGTCTGTCTATCTGTATTTGGCTGGGTGTGCATGCCTAGTAACTAATAACTAGATATATGCATGCCTGTGTTGTGTATGTGTGTGTGTGTGTGTTATTATTGATTGTTCTCATTTTTAAAAAGGTGTGCAACAATTAGATCTACCTGATCTCTCTATACATTCACTTTCTTGAGCCCAAATCTCTTCTGTTAGGAATATTATCATCCAATTCAGCTCACAGTTCAGTATGGCCAGGTATGAGGATATCAGTTAAGTCAAAGCAAGTGCAGACACTAAAGCAGCGTAAAGATTGTAAACCACAAACTTATAGTATTATTCAACGCAAAGCAAACTGATCCTAATATTATGGTAAAACTCACTGGGAAAGCTAGTTATATTATCCAGTAAGAGCAGTGGAATCTCAACCTTTAAAGATTGGTATCACTAAATTAATGACTATAGATCTAAGCAAACAAAAGATTTGACACTTAAAATTGTTTAACTATTATTTTTTGTTAACACTAGGCAATGTACAATGTCTCGAGCACTATCAATAATTATGATCAATAGTTTATCATTCTAAGCCTGTAGACCACTCCTCCTTATAGATAGACATCAAGATGCAACCTATTGCTCTAGACTAGATTAGAGCTGTTAGATCTAGTTCTGCAAGTATTTTATTTGAAAGTCTACAGATTATGATACTTTATCTGTTACTGTGGAGCACTTTATCCCTTACTTCTACAGGTAAATACTAGTTTATAATAATAAGATTAAGTTCAGATCTATTGCAGTTGCTCAACAGTATCTTCCCTTTGTGTCTCCTCCTGACTATAATGTGTTTACTGATGTAGATGATGACTCTGTTCATGTAGCATTGCCAACTACTCTTCAGTTTGGAGGCATTGACTTCAGTAATGCTTATGTGAGGCGACTAGATAAATTTATCTGTAATGCAAATGAAATGTTAATTGGTATTGTTCATGTTATAGATTAGTAGCAATGGCTTGGTTAGCTTTGGTCGCGGGTTTGATGCTTATGAACCAGTGGAATTTGATCTTATTAGTGATAATTTAACTATTGTTGCTCCATTTTGGGATGATATACAGATGACTGGTTCAAGGCAGTTACGTTATCAAATAGTATCAGGATCATCTTCTCTCATCAATCAAGTTAATGCATTTTTAACTAGTCATTCTGGTGTCTCTTTCAGTGCTGATTGGTTGTTGTGGGCTTATTGGCATGATGTATGTCCTTTTTCTGATTTAAATTGTGATTTCCATCAGGTTAATGATAAATATTAAATAATCCTCAAAATACATAAATTTATAGTCAAACTACTTCCAAGCTATTGTTGTAGTGCAAGGAAGAAGAACATATTCAATATTTACCTATCGGTGTGGACTCATAAGATGGACAACCTATGGTGCTGGTATTGGTTTCAGTGTAAATGGTACATTTTATGAAAAGCATCCATTGTCAAACAATGCCAGCCTAGCTGTTAATATTGACTGTGATGGTGCCATATCAGGCTGGAACAATGTTGTTTACAGGATTGACTCTGGTAAGTGTTATTATACCTGCATATGTCTGTAAGTAACACATATCTTCTGTAGCAATAGTCCCAGTCTGTAATTTCTCATGTGGTAATGGGACATGCGTTGCTAATAATGTTTGTAGATGCTTTGATGGTTGGACTGGTGATCACTGTGATCAAGGTACATGTACTGTGATGACATCAATTGGAGTGTTGATTCTTATTTCATAGTGTTTTGTACACCACCATGTTTACGTGGCACTTGCACTCTAAACAATAATTGTGTTTGTGATCCTGGGTGGACTGGTTCAAGATGTAGAACAGGTATGCATACATTACTCATTATAAGTATCGTTTATTTTCTAATATAGACATTAATGAATGTACATATGTTGCCTGTGATCAGTTTTGTAATAATACAGAAGGTTCATATGCCTGCTATTGTGGTCCTGGATATGAGATATTGAGTGATAATTCAACCTGCAGAGGTAATGGCATTTAACATTATTACACTAATGTGATTGAGGAATGTTGCTTATTTTAGATATAGATGAATGTGAGACTGGCTCTAATAATTGCACACACTTCTGCAACAACACATTGGGCTCATACACATGTTCATGTATTGATGGATACACTATGACTGAATATGGGCTGTGTCTGGGTAAGGAGAACTTAAAATTCCTTTTATTGTTATCTACAAGTTTGGGCTCTATTTAATCTGTGTTAGTTTTACTGTAATAACTAGGAGGTGTTTTCTCATAGATATTGATGAGTGCTATTTGAATATTAGTGGCTGTGATCATAGCTGTATAAATACTAATGGAAGCTACTACTGTGAATGTAGGTCAGGATTCAGGCTACATGCTAATGGTCGCTATTGTGAAGGTGAGGTGGTAACTGTCAGTGGTAGCTCCAAATTTCCATGGTCCAATATCTTATATTTCTTAAAGAACTTTATGGTTATTATAATTTTATTTACAAAATCTAGCTACTATTTAATTTACAAAAGTCTATTTTTTCTCATAATCACAAAAATATTATACTATGAACACATGGAACTGCACTGTATCCATAATGTATTTATGTGAACTTTAAATTAAATAGAAATTGATGAATGCATTGAGAATCCTAACCTGTGCCCAATCAATAGCAACTGCTTCAACACACATGGTAGTTATAGTTGTGATTGTATTAATGGATATCACAAGAACGAATCAGGATATTGTATAGGTATGACCAACTCACTATCTATATATACCAACAATGTATTTGTAGATATTGATGAATGTGATACTGATGCTAATAGCTGCTCTCAAATATGCATTAACACTGAAGGGTCTTATGATTGCTCTTGTAATAACGGTTATGAAAAACGATTCAAATATTTCTGTTTTGGTAATTAAGCTTTGTTCTCTCTGATATTCTATTTATATGATCAGATATTGATGAATGCGAGAATCCTAGTATCTGCTCCGGTGATCATCAAGTGTGTCAGAATACATTAGGCGGCTATACATGTTCTTGTAAAGAAGGATTTGAATATGGCAGGGATGGCATGACATGTGAACGTAAGCTATTTTACTTACATTTTTGTTATATTGGGCACAATATTTATAGCTAAAGCATGCCAAGTCATACTGCCACCAATTAATGGAAACCTTTACTGTAACGGTAACAGGACTAATAATACATGTCATTATACTTGTAACAGTGGATATGTATTAAGCGATTCATCTTCACGCACCTGCCAACCAAACGGACATTGGTCTGGAATCCCTCCCTATTGCTCTCCTCTTCCTTGTCCTACATTGACATCACCAAGTAATGGTTACCTGCAGCTACCTTGTGATGGAGTGTATCAGTCACAATGTACTGTAAGGTGTTTTGATGGATATAAGTTAGCTAGCACTAATGGTACTCTTAGTACTGTGACTTGTGACTTGTCATCTAAAAACAGAACTATGTGGAGTAACACTGAGGAATGTGAAGGTTAGTGAATAAAACACTGATTCTAAAACACATAGATTTATTTTATTGCTTTAACCTAAAAAATTTAATGTTAATGCTTGCTGTTACATTTACTTGTTATTAATTGCAGAAAAGGACCCTTGTGAATCTAAGAATCGCTGTCTTCATGATGGCATATGTTTAAGAGTTGATTCTGAGGAAGGATTTGAATGTAATTGTACTGGCACTCTTTATGAAGGAAGGACGTGTGAAAGAGCATTAGTGCTTATTGATCCTATTGGACCAGTGATATCATTCAAGTTCAAAAATATCACTATCAGAGCAAAACCTGATAATGATACAACATATAATGTTAAAGATTGTAGTAGTTCTGGTGGCACTTTGACCTATTTTGCTTCTCCTTGCAGATTTAATCTTAGTAAGAGTAAAACTAGTCAGAATGTCACTTTGCGAGGTGTTTTTCCGGGATCATATGTATTTGAGCTTAATGGAGTCCCTCCTGTTCCTATACTTGTTGTTTCTGAATCTCAGTCATCACCTTATTTTGATAAATTTGGCAATAGATCTATTCAACCAAGCTGTTGCTCCAATATTTTTACATCAATATGCCATGATAAAACATTAGCAGTGCAGTTAAACTCATCTTGTTCATGGGATAAATCTTTACGTACAACAAGAGGAATAGTTTTCATTATTTATGATAACCTAATTGTTCCAGTTTCACTGGCTGGTGTAAACATAACTTCAGAAAATGCTGCACTACCTTCACCTGCTCGTGCTGTTTGTACTGATAATTGTGATAATAAATTGAAACCACTGAGTTCTACTGATAAATGTTACAGGCATATACCTACTCCTGATGACTTAAGTGAGTTTGTTAGGAGACAATCACTGACAGATTCCTTTTTGTCATCAATAAGGACAAGTCTATTTCCAAATTGGTTTAACATCTCAATAACGGATGATCTTGATGCCATTAATAAACTAAGCAGTACTGATTATCTTGCTAAACTAGTATCACCAGCTAAGTTAATAGATGAGAAAGGTTGTGAATCATTAGTCATTGAGGATAACAACGAAGGACGATTTCTTGTATTACAGCACAATGGACCTTTAAACCTTACATTGGAGAATGAACAATCTTTTGTTCTTAACTCTCCATCATCATCTGATTTTTACTGCATTGCTGTTCATGTTTGTTCAGGTCAAAGGTCACCAGTCTACATTGGACTACCTCCTTCAGCTCAAGATGGTATTGATAGTATTTCTTTTATCTCAAATTACATCAAGAAGGGGTGGACATTTAACTTTAATAGTGTCTCACTCAGCCAGACATTACAAAAAACAGTATTAGAAGCAAAACTTTGGAATGGCTACTCATACATGCAAAGATACTCTCAAGACTACTTCCAGTATGATACACTAGTGAACATGAAGAGTGCTCAAGGAAGATTTTCTCATGGAAACACAAATGTTAATTTAAGTTTTAGTGGATTTATTCGATATAAATACATTACAGAAGACAAAGTATGTCTTTATGCTGAAATTGAATAGCTTTTAATTTTTAATTTTTAGGCTAATGAAGCACTGCTTCATGGAGATTGCACTTTTGTAGTGATGTCAAGAGTAACTGGCAGCTTAGCAAAATTAGAGCTAAAGAAAACTTCAACCAACATCACAATACATCATAAAGGTAGATCTATATGGTACAATTTATAACTCGTGTATTTCATTTTATAAATTTATATAGAAAACTCTCCACCACCAAGCTGTTCTTCAATAGGCCCAACAAATGGAGTATCATTCAAATTAGCATACACCCCACAACAAGACCAGCCTTTCTATTTGAGTGTATTGGAACTACCTTCAGACACTCCTCAGTGTCCAGTTGATGCATTCCTTAGTTTGAACAGTAATCAAGATATGAATGGGTTGAGTTTCTATTCTGAATGTCTTGATGTATCGTTTGATGCATTAATATTTACTACTCTAGATCTAGCTCACAGAATATATATTCCAATGTCTGATGATACACTATGTATTAAACCAGAAAACTTCACTTCTCTCTTCTCCATGGCTGAGTTTGGTCTCGTCATTCATTCTTCATTGAATGCTAGTCGGTTAAGATTGAATACATTTATTCAATTATTACCAGGTTATGATAATACTGCATTGTCGTTAGGCTTTTACAAGCACATTAATGGGAAAGTAGGCCTGATACACTCATTAGAAATGACAATGTTTGATAATACTTTTGTGACACAAGCCAGACTAAGAACCATGGAGCTTAGCTTTGGGTTAACAATTAAACTATTCAATGAAGAATTTTTCACTGCATTTATTCAAGGCAGAGCTAATACTAGCAGGCAGTGGAGAGACTTGACAGTTAGCATAAATGGCTGGTTTCCAAAAGGTAATGGATACTTTGTGGATACAATGGAAAGGAATGTAACAAGGAAGATCACTACATTAGGAAATGAAGCAAACATGAGAAAAGGAGAAGCTGATAAACAATTACTTGAAGCTACAGCTAGACTAATAAGGGCAGATGGTCAACTTAGTGATGCTAGATTGGCCTTCAGTAATGCTTCTACTCAACTCAGTGCAGTGCAGAACAACCTTGCAGAATCAAGGGAACGTTTGCGATTAGCTGAATTAAATGTTACAATGGCCAGAAGTGAAATAAGACAAGCAGAAGATGCTATTAATGACGTCTGTGATGTACAGGTTTGTCCTTTGGAGTGTCAGAATGCTACAAGAAAACGAACTGTGTACAGAGATGTATACTATGAAGCTGAAGGAGTTTGTGATTCAGTATGTAATGTTACTGTTAGTGTTAGAGTAGCACCATACTCTGTACCTGCTAGGGTGTGGAAATTCATACGATGCTGTGAAAATAGACTAGAAAATTGTCAAGACAGCTTATGCAATGGAGAAAGCTGCTCATTTGTCTGCAAGTCAGTAAGCTCTACTCGCCCTGTTTTTAATTATAGGGAAGCTATTGTTGAGCGTCCATGCAAGGTTTCATGTAACGTTAGTCAGTATGGGGCAACAGTTGAAGAAACTGAAGAATATATTGATCCATGTGGACGTAGAGGGCCTAATGCTGCTTGTGTTGCTTCTAATGCTGATTGTAACAGGGAAAGAGAAGCATCATTAAGAGCACTTGAAATAAGGAGGAGTGAACTGGTGGCACCATTAAGAGAAAGAAATAGAGCAAGAGCTGAAGTGGAGTTGTTAGAAATTAGACTAAGTGAAGCTCAACGCAGTGAGCAATTAGCTAATGAGACACTAGTTTCAACACAATCACTCCATAGGCTTATCATTCAATATAAAGAAGCAGTAGAAAAGAGTCACAGAATGATACTGGAAGAAATCAAAAATGATCTAAAGTTATACAACCTGACACAACAGTATGGCAATAACGTATTCAATGTTACAAATATCACATTCACAGTATTAGTCAGTGAAAACAATAATCCTTCAGTTTTTCCAATTGTGATAACCTATGACACTCCCCAAAGGAGCAATGAGCAATTAAATTATGCATATGATTTCAATACTCAGTTCTCATTGCAAATCGAAACTCTCGTAAACGATATAATTGACTCCCTTTTCACATCACAGGGAAGGAGAAGGAGAAGGCAAACAGAGCTGAATCAACCAGGGCGTGAGCAGTTTGAAATTCAATGTGCTCAATTGAAAAGCATAGATAAATTTATTCAATACATGTATACTACACTAGAAGAGGCTGAAATGAGTGGAATGGATATACGAGTGTCTCTGCAAGAACTAATAGAATCGTCTAATGTCACTCTTAACACAACTTCAGTGAGCAACACAACAGGTCTTGGTAATTATACTAGTCTTAAAGAACTGTTTGATATAACTCAGGAAGAAATAGAACAAAGTAGAGGAGATTTAGGTAATGTGGAAGATGAAGTGCTAAGTTCTCTTAGATCATCATACAAGAGCTTACAAACTGAAGCACAGTCTGTCTTGGATTCACTTGAAGCCACACTACTGATGCAATGGAGGTCTGGTTTAGAGATATTGCTTCAAGGTAATGGTACTGTAGCTGACAGACCCTGCTCAGGACTGGTTGACTGTATATTAGTATTGAATGGCTCATTGGGAAACTTACTTTCTTTTGTACCATCAGAGATCACAACCTTACTATCACAGAGTCTGCCAGTAGCTTCACAACTCCTGCTACAGCTAGCAAGCAATGAACTAACCAATTTCACTGACTCTAGGAACAAACTAACTCCTATTAGATCTCTTGTACAGGCTATGCTTGATAATGGCTACTGGTGCTCTACTCTACCACAAGTGATTGTACATCCAGTAGCAGAGACTAGTGTACAAATAAATACTGCTCTAACTCTAACATGCAGAGGTAACTCCAGTCTACCAGTTTCATATCTATGGAGAAAAGATGGAGTAGCAGTACCAAACACTAACAGTCACACATTAGTGCTTAACGATATGAGAGTATTCGATGAAGGTAATTATAGTTGTGAGATAACAAACGATGTTGGTACTGCCCGTTCAACAAACTCAAGTGTTCACGTTTTCATTCTTCCTCAGTATTATCAACTGCCATCATCAGTCATAACATACATGGGAGATGAGAATGGAGCCTACTTTACATGTAATGCTACATCGAGACCAGATCCTGGTTGGAGGTGGTATCACAGATCATCTACTAGAGCACAATGGAGAGAGGTAATAGGAGCAGTGACAAATGAACTTCTTGTAAGGAGCCCATCACAATCTGATGAAGGAGAGTACAGGTGTGAAGCTTATAATGATTTTGGTAACCTCTCATCAGACCCAGTCTCACTCCATCTTGTATCAGTAACAGTAAGAGTGTTAGCATATAATGTAGAAATATCAATGGTGAGACAGAATGGTACTGAGCTGAGTGAAAGAGACATTAGTTTACAAGAAGATTTAAAGAATAAGTTTGAAGAAGGGGTTTCATTTGGAGATGTGGTATTATCAGAGGAGATTGGAGTGACAGATGTTATACTGGATGAAGAAATAGTCATTAGTTTCAAACTAATCAGTCCCAATGTAACAATACCTCAAAATATTCATTTAGAAACTATTGTGAACAACCTCACAAATTCTAGAATCCAATTAAACAGAGTAAGAGATGATTTGGAAAGATTTCTAGACAATTCTGAGGATTTTATACTGGAATATGAAGACTCAGAGTATCAATATAGACGTAGCTCATTTCGCGTGGACATACCAGAAATACAGTGTCCACCTGGTCAAGAGCTTCATTCTAACAGATTCCTATGCTGTAAGTATTTTATGCATATGACAGAAGAGCAGGGTTCTGTCCAGTGGGGGGGGGGGCAGGGGGAAGCTTCCCCAGCTTCCCCCCAAAACTTCAAGCTTCCCCCCTGTGTACTTCTGTAATTGCATGCATGTACTGTACATGTGCATACATGTATGTATGTACACAACCTCCCCCAGTCAATCGTTCTGGGCTTCCCCCAAAACAAAAATTCCTAGATAGAACCCTGCATAAGAGTGTTGGAAGAATGACTGAATGTATGAGTGTACTGTGTGTGGGCATGTATAATGGCATAATTTTTAACTATATTATTCAAAATTTTGTTTTTCATTTTTAGCTGATTGTCTTGAAGGACAAGAGCAAGCTGTCATTGTTGAGAGTAGAGTGACTGGTAGCGGAACTATTATTGAGAGAGTGCCACGCTGTTCTCCTTGTCCTTTCCATACTTATCAGGATATAGTAGGATCATACGGACAATGTAAGCCTTGTCCTGTTAATCACATTACATTCATAACTGGTGCTAAATCTCTTGATCAGTGTACAGGTAAGGAAATTATAATGTTTATGCATTTGATAAAACTTTGCAATTTTAGAGCTATGTCCTGTTAATTATAACTCATCAAATGGGCTAATGCCATGTAGACCATGCCCTAGTGACACTTATCAACCTACTCCTGGCCAAATTGAGTGTCTTACTTGCACATCAGAAAATGATGATCCTCTATGTTCGAAAAGTTAGCTTGTAGTATAGCTTTTGGTAAATTAATTATTTGTTTTCTTAACATGTAGATCCATGTGAAAAATCTAAAATTATTGGTTCGTGTAATGAAGGGTATCTTAGATTTTATTATGATAGTTCCCTGCAGCAGTGTGAACCATTTTTGTACAGTGGTTGTGATGGAAATGAGAATAATTTCCCTTCACTAAATGAGTGCTCTCAAACTTGTGGTAAGTGCTATCACTGTTTACATGCTTTTGATCACAAATTTTTTGTGACACTAGTATATTATTTTAATTGTAAACAAGGACCATATCTATTAGTACTATATCTATAATTCTCAAAAAGAAGACACAAATTTCGTCAAAAATGACTATGAGAAAATTTCCCATTCGAGCTGATCCTGATCAAATTTAGATTATTTATGAATTTTTAAAGTTGCTCCAAGTGCCATGCACTGTATTGTAGTGCTTGTCAGCTCATGTATCATGCTGTTTAGCTCACTTAGCATGCTTTGTGGGTAACCCTGATAGTGACCGTATCTAACAGTTTATTTTAATATCAGAAGTTTTCATTGATATCATGTCTTATCACAATGACAAATAATGTAATCCAGCTTTAAGAGTTTATACTTATTATAGGATGCCCACAGAATCAGTCCAGTCTGCTGGAGTGTACCAATGATCCTTGTCAGTCTAATACATGTCCATCTGCTCCTACTGCTCAGTGTTTTCCTGATTATTGTGGTAATTGTACTAGCAGATACTATTACAATGATCAAGAAGTGACTGAAACATGCTGTAAGTTAATATTCCTTTTATAGCAGTCTTATTTTTAGTTTGTTTGTAGCTTGCAGTAATGGCTTAGAACCTGTTTTATGTGCACCATCTTGTCTGTCAACTTGCCGTATTCCAGAGCCAATATGTCCCATATCTTCCTGTGTACCAGGCTGTGGTTGTCCTGATGATACCATATATGATGAGATTAATAAGGAATGTGTCCTGCCATCATCCTGTGGTAAGTATCTTGTACACTATTATACCCTACATGACATGATTCCTGATCCACAGATACTTGTAGTCTTCCTCCTGTTATTGGTCCGTGTCGTGGTGCGTTCCCCCGTTGGTTTTATAACTCTTCTTCTGGTAGTTGTGAGTTATTCTTATATGGTGGCTGCAGTGGTAACACTAACCGGTTCATTAGTCTACAGCAGTGCATCCAATCATGTGGTATGCTAATGAGTGATGATATTTATAGTTTAGTCTACACTGCCTGTTAAAGTTTTGGTGCATTATGTCTTCATTTGATAATTCTTTAGGCTGTGAATCAAGTGAGACTGCTTTGAGTTGTAGTGGTGATCTTTGTATGGGTGCTTCTTGTGATGCTCATGATAACTCGATTTGTGAAATTGATTCTTGCTCAAATTGCACTGTTAAGCATTATGTCGGATTGGAAGAAGTCACTGATCAATGTGGTATGTTGATGATTTTGCTCAAAAATCAGCCATGAAATTATTTTCAGTTATTTTCACGTATAAAGCATCAGTTTGTCAATGATGACAAATTTTTGAGTCATAGTTATTGAAAAAATAATTATGCATTTTTTCGAAAAAGCATCTGGGCATTTTTCAAAATAGCTGAGAATTTAATAGTTATTAATTAATCAAAGTAACACAATAATAATACAGTGAGGTACTTGTATTATCATTACTGTAGATGTGTGTTCTCTTCCTCCTGATGTTGGCTCTTGTAATAATAACATCAGTAGATGGTATTTTAACAGTGAAAGCAGTCGTTGTGAATTGTTCAAATATGGAGGCTGTAAAGGCAACAAGAATAACTTCAACTCATTAAGAAGCTGCCTTCAAACATGCAGTGAGGAACAAGAATTATAATAGTCTGCTTTTTTGAAGCTTAAGTTTATCATTATGTATAAATAGGTAGTCAAACCTGTGATGTTGGAGTGACTGTGGTTGATTGCTATACTGATCCTTGCCGCACTACACATTGTCCTAATTTTGACAATGCTCTCTGTATGCCTAACTATTGTGGAGAGTGCTCTGCTCATTATTATAACAGTACAGGACATGATATAACAATGATGTGCAGTAAGTGATTATTAGTGATGCTTTTTATCTTCTAATGATTGCTTTAGGTGATTGTCCATCTGACAAGGCACCAGTGAAGTGTCTCATCAATCCATGTGATTATAGAACATGCCCTAACCTACCACCAACTGAATGTGTGCTGAATGTCTGTGGGGAATGTAAAGCACAGTATTATTGGAACAATGTTGATGTCACTGAGTTCTGCAGTAAGAAAAATTGCTGTTGTTCTATAACATATTACTCTGCAATCATTTTGAGATGCTAAATGTATATAAATGACAAATTTGTACCTGTTTTATTAGTATCTGTATCTGTAGTACATTGATAAAAATTAGATGTAGTTCATTATAAGTTAATTTTTTTGTATAACAATAGTGACATGTCCCTTTGGGGGTCAAATATTTAAGGAATGTGGTGCCTCATGTCAACGTACTTGTGATGATATTCGTTACCAAAGACCTTTTGTTTGCAGTAGACACTATTGTGTACCTGGCTGTGCTTGTCCTGCTGGACAGGTGATATAACTTAATATTGTGAATCATCATCATTGTCACTGTGTGTTAATTATAGGTATTGGATGAGTCAATTAATAGGTGCGTTTATCCAGAGCAGTGTCCTTGTCAAGGAACATGTGATCCAGTTCCTAATAATTGTACATCACTCTCTTATGATAATTGTAACTGTCCATTTTGTAAAGGTAACAATTTAAGAAATGAATCTGGTTATACTTGATGCAACAATATTTTTCTAATTTTGTTCAGATTGTCCTATTGTTGGTCAAGAGTATAATGATGTAAAGGCCAGTTGTCCAAAGACTTGCTCAAATCCTCACCTTCTGTGTGCTGGTGAGGGACAGCCTGGCTGCTCATGTCCACTGGGTCAAGTAATTGATGAAATGAACAATCGCTGTGTGCAACCTAAAAATTGTCCCAGTAAGAGGATATTTAATGAGGGAGGGCAAAAGTGGATTAATTTTAATTTTTTTTATTAATAGAGCCTGATCCATGTACATTAGCACCAGAGAGAGGTCCCTGTACTGCTAGTATTACAAGATACCATTACAATGTCACTAGTCAGTTGTGTCAACAGTTTTCATATGGAGGTTGCTTCCCTAATGAAAATAATTTCTTTACCCAACACGACTGTGAAGACAAGTGTAGTGGTACGCATACTTACCAGTAAAGCTTATAATTAGATGCATTATAGCCAATGGATTTTACAATTACATTGCATACATGTAGATTGCTATCCAGTTTGTACTCCAGAGTATTGTACCATCCAAAGAGGGGGAACATGTTCTGTGTAAGAAATACACCTATCACATGACCACCAGTCACATGATATTCTTCTCCGTATAGACCCTCATCTCTTCCTGGCAGTACTCAAGGGTGTCCTGGAGGATGTGCTCTATCCAATTGTGGTGCTTGTTATTATTCATATAATGATCTACCATTCCCTCCATTACCTGGTTCTTGTCCTAGTGTGTGTCCATTGCTTAATGGTCAAGTGGATGAGTCCTGCATGGCAAGATGGGGACGCTGTGTGCAGAGATCATATTATGCCATTTATCAAACAGTAATTATTCCTAAAATGTTGTAAATTATTATATACTTTCTTATTAAGGTTTCTGAGCGTGAGAGGTTCAAGAATAATTTCCGCTGCTGGTCTCATCAATGCACAAACTAAATCTGAGGCTCCAATTGATTGTTTAAAACATTTTTTGTAGTTTTGAATAATGAAGTGAATAAATTACAATTATAAATAGCTAATTATTTTGATTCTTGTTTGCAAAGCATGAACTCATTTTTTGTTTGGAGGATCTCTTGACAAAACTTTGCCATATTGATGGTAAGCAGCATTTTCTCTGTCACACATCCTGTGGCAATAACAAGAAGCCAACAGGGAAAATTTCATTTTAAAATTGCCTGAAATAATAATTTGGGAAAATTATTTTGAAATTCATAATTAAGCAATCAAAATCAAAATGGGAAAAAGAGAAGCAAAGTAAATTTATAAAATTATTTACAAGTTACAGCAAGATAATATTAGCTGGCAGCATTGCTAATCAGTATGTAGCTTTCAAGGAGTTCTTAGCTACAGTTAGTATGTTATAATCATCAACATCAGTAGTAACAGGAATAGTAACTGTAGAGCTACCTACACCAGGAGCTGATACCTCTACTACTATACCATCTAAATTAGGACCCACTGTATTCGAATCAAATATGTGTGTACGCTTTCCTCCATCTCTATCTATTTCTATCATACGGTCCCTGTATTTAGAAGTATGATCTTCAGTGACCTGGACAATAACTCTAGCTAATCCATGATAAGCACTCCTCCAGTGAGCTTGGTTGGGTTCATGACACGATGGATCACCATTACCCACTCCAATTAT